GAGAGAGAGAGAGAGAGAGAGAGAGAGAGAGAGAGAGAGAGAGAGAGAGATGCGGAATATTCGGGCAGTTGCGTCAGCTTGTTAGGAAAAGAGATCGGAGAGAGAAATATCTCATAGAGCGCGTTCTTTTCGGCCGCGGCGCCAGAGCTGCCACATGTAGGATCGAGTACGCGTAACTATAGTGCGTGCGGCGCAGCGCACACAAGCGAAGAACTGTATATGTGTGGGCTGCCTGTCACGAACTATAGCGCTTGACGCTTCGGCCAGGCTCGGGCGGTGGAAGAGTGCAGACGTACAAGCTGCCGTCTCTCTCCCGACCTATAGCTATAGCTAATACTACAAGCGGCGAGGCCTTTTTATTATATCTCGACGCTCGCGTGTTGCTTCTCACGTGTACGTATTTTTACTATTTAACTAATTATTATATTAAATGGAATATTTTTTTACACATAAAACACACTCGTCAACAAAATTATCGCATTGGTTAATTTATGTCGAAATGTCGCATAATTTTTAATAAACATAATACCGCGAAACATTATCGTATTTGAAAAATTTTTTTTTATTTTAAAAGGGAAGTCTGTACTTTAAGGGGCATATTAGTCAGATATTTTGAAATTATTCTCTCCCCTTTCCGCAGTCTTTTCACAAGTAAAGACGTGTTGCGTCTCCAAAAAATTGCACAATGTGACGTATCCTACGGGATGGAATAAATTTTTTTCGTAAATTTTATGATAACCATCGGATTTGTGCGTTTTTTTCGCGGAGTTGCAAAAAAAAACATCAAAGTTACCTATACATTTTTGTTATCACTTCATTTGACGCACTCTATTGAGTGGAATGAATTCTTTTCACAAATCTGACGATAATTATTCTAAAATATCAATGTTTCCTTACAAATAGAAAAATAAAGAAAAAGTATACATTTCTTCCGCGATGTTGTACGGTATATCAAAGTTACCTATACATTTTTAATCAGTTATCGTGACATGCACACACACACACGCACGTGCAGCACACACACACACACACACACACACACACACACACACATAATACGCAAGACCCGACCAGCAACCTCCCCGTGGTACGCATCGGTAATGTTAATACTAACGGTAATTGATTAAAAATTCATCATCGGTACGTTTGATATGCCGCGGAACAAAGTCATGCACACTTCTTCTTAATTTTCTTATTTGCAAAGAAACGTCCATATTTTACAATGGTTATCGTAAGATTTGTGAAAAAAATTCATTCCAGTAAAATGCGTCAATTAAGCGATTTAAAAAAAAATGCATAGCTAACTTTGATATGTCGCAACTGTGCGAAAAAAAATCGTACAAATCCGCTTTTTTTTTAATTGTGGAGGAAAGCCTATACTTAACGATAGTTATCATGAAATTTACGAAAAAATTTATTCCATCCCGTAGGATACATCAAATTGTGCAATTTTTTTGGAGACGCTACACGTTTTTACTTGTGAAAGGACTGCGGGAAGGAAAGAGAATAAATTGAAAATCCGACAAATGCTCCTTAAAATACAGACTTTACTCTTGAAATATTACAAAAAGATTTCAAATACGATGTTCCGCGGTATTATACTCATTTAAAATTGTACGAAATTTCGACATGAATTAACCTATGCGATAATTTTGTTGACGAGTGTACATAAAGGAACTAAGGAAATAAAGAGCAGAAAGAGCGTTAATAGTACAGAAATGATATAAATCTATTCTTGGCCAACATGTACATATTGTCTTTAAAAAAGTATCGTTATTAATGTATAAAAATTAATTACTTTATGTAGAAAAATCGATTGACAAATAAAATGTAGTCTGTTTAGCAAAAAGTTTCTGTTAAAATACTTTTAACTTTACTAATAGCAAATTTTGTTGCTAGTAATGTCAGTGATCTTGCAGCAGAGATACGTTTTGCAACCCGACCATGCTAGCGTTTTTCCCTCTTTAAACTCACACAAAATGCTTGGTCTATCTATGTGACAACTTGTCACATAGATAGACGAAAAATTCTCTGTGCATAAGTAGAGAAGGAAAAACGCTTGCGTGCCCAAAGCCCTGATTCTCGAAAATATATCGTGAAAAAAACGACATTCGATATATATCGATATTCGATATTTCGAACCCGTCGAAAGTAAGTTTCGCGCGTTAATAAATCTCGGGAATGTCGAGAATAGCGATGTGCGATCGCCGGGGCGTATCGTGAAGACAACATAAGTAATCTTCTAGTTTTTTCTCGCGGTATATGTAAGCCCTTATAGAAATGTAATACTGATAAGTAATAATTTGGCCAATGATAATTACTGTCGTTCAATAATTTTATTACTCGTACGAGTAATAAAATTACTATTTATTACTGGCCAATTTATCACAGCCAGTGATACTTTTCTATAAGGGAGGTGACCAGATTTCCCAGCCCTGAATTCGGGACACTTCATAAATACGTGAAGCACGGGGGAGGTGGGGAAAAAGATTCGAAAATTATTTGACAGTTATTGAAAATGATGACAAATCGGTGTCCTGAATAGCACTCAAAAGAGTTCGGAACAAAGAATGAAAAATCGGAACTGTCGCGAAAAAATCGGGACGTCTGGTCACCTTATGATAATAACTGAACAAAGACGAGATAAAGAAATCGTCGTAACGGCACGCCCGAGTTCTTTTCCTACGCGTAATAGCAATAATTAAATAATAATCGAATACATTAAATAAGAACCGAATAAAGAAATAATAATACTCTATTAAATAGTAATGATAATAATATCTGTTCGACAATCGTGTGATAATATTCGTGAATGGATAATAACGAAATGATGATCGAATAATCGACAATAACAAATACGGCTGAGCAACGATTCCAACAAAAACTCTAAGCTTCACAAAGGCCAGGTAAACCGATCGTTGTAAGGGTCCTCTCGTGCCGCTGACTGAGTGGCGCTGAGAGGGGGGGAGGGGGCGCGCGACCGGGCCTTGTAAACACGCGTGCTCGAACATCACGCCATAACACTCTTAACCGTCGAGATGAGTACATCGGGAGCCGCGTTATTTTCTAAATTATTTCGCGTCGATTTTTGACGTTACCGCAAAAATTATTTTGCGCCGCATTTTGACTTCGCCATAATTAAGGCGATAATTAACACGAATTGAGACGCGTAGTTCTCACGAGAGCAGGTGCTGCGGGTTTTATCGCGATAGGTAATTACCGCGTTTCATTTATTTTTCTACTCGTTAGATAGAGAAATATCGCGATATCAAGTTCCTCAATGCCGATTAAATATCATCAACATCCATTTATTATTTGAGTATTATTACTTCTTTATTCGGTTATTATTTAATTGTTGATATTACGCATAGAAAAGCAACTCGGATGTGCCGTTACGATTTTTTTACCTCGTCTTTGTTCAGTTATTATCGCCGTTGCCCAGTTATTGTTATTCGTTATTAGTATCGATTATTCGGTCATCGTTATTCAGTTATTATCCACTCGCGGATATTATCGTATGATTGTTGATCAGGTATTATTATTACTACATTTATTATTCGAATATTATTACTTTTTTGTAATAATTATAATAATACTTGATCATAATACAATCAAATGATAATAGCCGCGAGCGGATAATAAGGAAATAATAATGATCGAATGCCTCCATTATTGTGTAATTAATTAGTACTAAATTAAACTTGGTTTCTGTTACAGAAACGAGCACTCGACTTTAAAGGGATGCTGCGCCGGAGAATCCGGCTCGGGCCGAGCAGGGTCTGCTCGAAGGTGAGCATCATTAATTAGCATTCATAATTAGAAATCCGACAAGATTGATAATTTTGTTGCTCAATTGAAACAATTT